TATATATATATATATATATATATATATATATATATATATATATATATATATATATATATATATTATATACCTCTTGTCTGTACATACAGCTGAACGGCACCAACAATATAACGACTAAACGATTTATCGCCGTGCAATGCCACATAAATGGGAAACGACGAGCGCTGTTGAGATCGATGTTGCGCATTGTCTTTTCCCTTTTTCTTTTTTCTTTCTTTTTTTTTCTCTTCTTCCTTTCTTTCTTTTTTTTTTTTCCTCTCTCTTTTCTGCGACGACGGTGACGAGCGATCGGATCGAGCACGCTCACGCTCGACAATGTAATTATATTACCGCGACAGTACGATGTAACAACATGTTCGACGACACGTACGTATATATTTATATATATAAATATATACGCACATATGTTTACATATATAAATAGAGCTCGTAGAGAAAACGAGAGTCGCGAGCAGTGATTTTTCTATTATTGCTACCGTAATTATTACCATTATCGTTTATTATTACGGTTTCTTACCGAGGATGATCGCTACGACGACGATTGATTAGTACTTACGAGAGCGAGAGAGTAGGAGAGAAAGTGTGTGCGTGCGTGTGGTTCTCGTTGTAGTGCTCGTCGGAAACGAGTGTCGCGGGAAAGGGAAGAAGGAGATGTGTGTTCGTCGAGCCAGAAGCGTTACTCGTTGGTGTAGACTGACGCGAGAGCAACAAGGGGTTCCTAAGAATTGTCCGGGACGATTGGCGAACGTCCGATGGACGGCGTACCGAGCGTTGCGAGTATCGAAAAGTGACACGAACAGTGAAAGAAACAGGCGTCAAATTTCTGATTTGCCTCGTCTACATGGAAATTAGACTGTCCATTCCACTGTTCGTCACAGAAACATGCCCTCTACGACATCTCAACCACTTGCGGCTGGAACAACGTGCCACGTGCACGTCGAGAATTTTTTTGTTTCAAAATTAGTAACGTTTCCTCTAGTTTCAAGTATGGTACACTCGATGCGAAGCAAATGATAAATTTCGTCGCTTCTCGTCAATCATTTCTTATCCAGCGACGTGTCGTACGACGCCGGCGTTCTTCGAAGAGAAAGCGACGAATTTATCGTGTACGGTTCGGTCGCTCGTTACGGTCCGCAGTCAGCTGCCAGCGCGCAAGTGGTTGTCACGATACGCGCGTGTTCCCTTTCCTCGTCGGAGACGAACGACGTAGACTAGACCTCTTTAGAAATGTTTCTCTAACGATTCACTTTCGTGTCCGAGGTTTTCGTTTCGCGTCCATTTGCGGTACAGAGATAGAAAAGCACGTCTGTTCCTGTTGGCCCTATACGCGCCTTTGAAATAACACGAACGAACCGGACCTACGTTCGAAAGTCTCGGAACAAGTGCTTTAGACAGACTTAGAGACAGGTGTTTTTAGCACCTGAGAGATGCTTTACGCGACGGTGACAGTGTCTGTTGTTCGAGACTTTTGTCTTTCGAAAGAGGGAAGGAGTGAACGCGTCTCGGTACGGGTCCTGGCGATGAATCGCGACTCGTTTTTTTGAATAAACGATCGCAACGATCGACCGAGAGAGAGAGAGAGAGAGAGAGAGAGCTGACAATTCAGTTTCCGATCATTTTCTATTCTTTCGTCTTCATTCTCGCAACGACGATGGACCCCCTCCACGATTTTTGTTTCCTCTTCCGGGTTAGCGAGTAGGCAAACGGCGAACAGCGTTCGTCCGTTAAAACGTTTTATTTATCGTTTAATTTAAATGGTTTTTTTTTTTTTTTTTAATTAATTAACCACGGTCGAGTGACGAGAAGGGACGTCAGCCGGGACTTCCCCCCCGAATGAGGTTCGAAGCCACGTTTCTAGGCGTAAACGATCATCCTGTCGTTATTTATTTGGCAGTGACCGAACCAATGCTCAAAAAAACAAAAAAACACACACGCAAAAGAAAAAGGAAGAAAAAAAAAAAAGAAAAACGATGCTGTTGGTTTAGAAGTGAATAAAAACGAAGCTGAGAAACCAAGGTTTTCTTTACCCGTCTGTACCTATATAGGCCTGTAAACAACGTCGTGTATGTGCAGTGGAGTATAAAGGGAATAATAAAGAGTACACACTTTTTATATGCACGGCTTTTAACTCTTCTCACTTTTTCACCGATTCTTCGGCTGCGAGTTCGACAGCGATCCGATTGAAATGCATTAAATGCGACTTGATATTCTTCAGTTCTCGAATATCTGGTACACGTAAGAAAAGCAGTGTGTTGCGTTGAGCAGAGGACGATGTTAAAGCAATGCGAGAGAATCGAACTGACATTGTTTTCGTCGTTCCCTCGCGAAGTATCGTGGGCTTTTGCCACGTTGGTTCGAAGAAGGTCTTTACACGAGGTTTCTTTCCTTTTTTTCCAAGATGTTGTGTACGTGCTATACGTTCGTAGCTTAAGTATAATTAATTATATAATTATATATTAATTGTATATTAATTAATGTATAATTAATTATATAATTATATATTAATTATGTATTAATTAATGTTAAGTATAATTTTTACGTAGAACTAAGCAGAATAACTGATACTCGATGGTTCAGCTACTCTCGACTCCATTTTCCTTCATTTCCTCGAGTTCAAGCGGACAAGTTGGAAACAGGGATCGAAATCAACAGGTTCTGTACGTTTTCAAAAAAAAGAAAAACAAAAATTCTGCTCGAGCTTGTGCATTTCGTATCGAAGAAATATCTGTTTTCGTGGAACTTTCGTGGAAAGAAAAGTGTCTCGCTTTTGAACAGTGTAATAAAAGTTCCATGGAAAACGAGTAATTGCCTTTTTTTTTTCTCTCTTTCTAACAAACAGACTAATTTGTACAACTTCATCCTAAATCGAATACTCGTTGCGTGATCTTATACCTGATTGTTCAACTCTGTTTTAGAAAAAGGAAATGCGCGATTTCGTTAACGATTCGTTGATCACAAGAGATGGACAATCGAGCATTTCCGTCGTATTTTGCTCGTACTATCTTCGAAAAGGGAAAGGAAATGTCGCGCAAAAGTTTGTATAAAATTATCGGACGTCTACGACGAGGAAGCCATCAAACTACGACAGTGTCAGAATCGGTTTGCTATAAATCTCACTGCCGATGAGTTTATCAAATCTCTGTCATTCGTCGAGTCGCAAAGTTGCCTGAAAGATGGCCAAAGAATACCTGAACGATATATTGTCTAATAAAGCTTTTGTTTCTCGTCAAAAATTCGCCTTTCATTTGCAGATGAAAGTAAGAAAAAAAAAAAAAAAAAAACGCAGTTACTTTCTGGCCAACCTAATATTTCAAAACATTCGATTAATAATGAATATTCGAGCATTATTCGTTGAATGGTATTCATATGTCAGTGAGAACAAATTATCTTCCGACGAGAGAAAAATTCTTACTTTTACATATATATATATCATAAGTTTCATTCCGTCTGAAACTTTTGCTTCTCAGTACAGTTTGTTCATCTGTAATAATGCCTACCCTTTTCGATCCCTGATCACTGTCGGCGCTCATGGCAATTTGAATTTTCGATCCCGCTCGCGACCGCAAGTTCAAGCCGATGTCGACGCGATCGAGAGCGACGAGCTTCGCGACATTCACGCGCAAATATATACATATATATATATATATATATATACATACATACATCGGACGTAATCGGGGGAGAATGCGAAAAAATCCAGCGAGTCTGGATAGTTCGAGCCAGTGGGAGCCAAGTTGCGACAGGTGAGAGGACTGGTCAAGTCACGAAGGACGATCGTCTCGCGCGGATGAGACATGGGCGATATCCTGCGAAGCTGGATGCAAGCTAGGCTAGGGATCCTGATCGACTTGACGCCGGACGTGTTCGGCCACTACACCAGGGACGGCTCGCTGCTCGCGCAGATCCTTCACAACTACGACGTGATCAATCGGGAACAGTTGGAGACGATCGTCGCGACGCAGGACCCGGCCCTCTGCCGTGTGAACCTCAAGCACCTGAGCATCTGGCTGAGGTTCGTGGGCATCGACTTCGACGACGAGAGCATCGACGAGATCTCGTGCGGCAAGGGCACCACCTCGCTGCGCCTCTTCTACAAGCTCTACCTGTCCCTCGAGACCAAGGACAGGCTGCACTTCGTCACGCTGCAGAAGGAGAGAGAGAGGTTGCTGCCCGTGTCGAAGAAGTTCGTGGTGACGAGAGTATGCGAGGATCCTCCGCCGTACCAGCCACCGGTGCATCCTTCGTCGGCGAAGCTCGCCAAGGGGGCGGACGTCGTCGACTGGCATCGTACCAAACAGCCGGCGATACTCGCGAAGTTTCGACGAGGGCGAGAGAAGCTCGAGGCTGCCCGCGTGCAGCCGGACGTCGTCGTCGTCGATCGCTGCGTAGCACCCGAGGTGCATAACATTCGAGTAAGTACTCTTGGTAGAGAGGAGTTACGGCCAAGTTACACAGGGATGATTGGAAGATGGAGGGGAATTGAAATTGTGGAGTTTTGGCAAACGGTTCAGATGCAAGACGCTGCTCTTCGAAGGTGCTGGAACGAAGGTCCACGAGTGGCGAAGGTTGTTGACGTTACGCGGTGGATGTTGTAGCGTAGCGAGGGATAGCGAGTTACAGTGGTCCTGAGATAGTAGATTAGTGTTGTATAGATTGTACAGAATATAAAGTAGATTATAGGTTTATATTAGAATTATATTGTGTTAGAGTAAGAGTGGAAGTAGTTTAGTTTAGTTGGAATGTAGAACGAAGCGTAGAGCTCTGTGCTGTAGTACGAGTAGTCTCTCCCCGATTTCGGTGCGACCGTAATTTCTTAGAAGTTAATATTAGTAGTTTAAACTTGCAGTAAAAATTAGAGATTCCTAGGTACGATGTGTTAGTTGATCTGCGGAATAAAAAGTCTATTTGTTCGTTACATCTCCTTTTTCTTAAATTTAGAAATCACGTCCTCTGTCGTTTTAAAATGACAAAATATGTCGACATTGATATGTTAGGAATTTGATCGCAAAAAAAAAAAAAAGAAATTTCCAACGCGTGTATATCGATCTGTCGAGGAAAATTTTCAAATCTTTCTGCAAACGTTTTATGGATCAAACGAAACGTGAAGGAAAAAAGCTGTGGGTTTAATTTCGAAGATACAGTTGGAAAAGTTTACAAATCAATCCTCTTAATTGGCTATTTTTGCAAATGAAAATTTAATTCGATTTATGGGCATTGAAATGCTAGCGCCGCGTAGCGGTGAATTGGTGGAACTAAAATCTATCGCTGTCCTTGTCCCACGCTAGTGCTGTTCTTATCTGTTACCTTGCATAAGTCCGTCCTTGTCGCACACTATCGCGCTCCTTGTCTACGAACTGTTGCTGCCATCTATCGGATTTTTCCAATTTACCCTTTTAGTTCCAGATGAAATTTGAGGCACTTAGATGTCAGCACAGTCGATAGACAAGGAGCGCATCAATGTACGACGAAGACGACAGCGATAGATTTTTAATTCCTTCGTTTCGCCGCGGAGTGGCGCTAGTCTTCAAAAATGTGAAGGGTTAGAAAGTGGCGATGATAATGCGAGGATAATGTAGGAAGTGATGATGTGGGTAAGGTGAGGAAAAAGGTTGTGGCCATTTCGTCTCAGAGTCGCTGCCTAGACTCATCAGTGGGGCTGATGGCAGCGACTCCTTACCCCAGACGCTTGTTTTTCTAACTACTCGCTA